TGTGGCTATCCGAATCTGCACCCGCGGGGTATTTGCCTCTCAGTTAGGTACATAAATAATTATATGATCGGTACAACTTGTGATCCTATATGTTAAATCATTATAAAATAATTAAATAAAGAACATGTCACGTGTAAGACTTCTATGTTATGTATTAGTCAGCCATAAAACTTACATATTGTGTGTTGCATATTCGTGACCTAGTTATTTGGTGCATTTTGCTAGCACAATAGTTAGGCTCAAACCCAGTGCATTTATATATGTACGTGTATATATTTCCCATATAATACTTTCCTTATGAACTACTATACTAATTCGGGCTCAAAATGATTTCTAAGCTTCGGGGACGAAGCTTCTTGTAAGGGGGGAGAGTGTAACACCCCGTGTTACGGCCTTTAATCCCGAATTAATTATTTAATTAATCCCGTTAATAATAATTAAAGAGGATTTAATTTGATTAGGATTCACTTTAATTAATTAATATGGTCCACCATGGACCCTTATCCATAAACCAAGCCCTTAGTCCTATAAGGAATAGAATTAGTAAACCCATACCATTCAGACCCTAATTAGGACTCCTAGATATCTACTACATTAATAAGAGCCCAAGAGAGTTAGGCCTATAATGGGTAGAAAAAATGGCGGTCACAGATTTTAATCAAATGAATGGCTCAGATTGATTGAAAGATTGATCAGATTTAAATTTTACACTAAAATTTTCTAAAATACCCACACATCGTTACTAATTCCGTTAAAATTTTAAGAATTGCCGTTAGTTCACCGTTAACTTACTTATTGATTTCAATAGAAAAAGGTCTTAGGTTCGAATCTCATCCCAATTAAAGTTGGCATAATTAGTACTCTATTTTACTCTTATTAAATTATATAAATAATAATTTAGTAGTTACAACAAAAAATAATACATATGCATTTCTTTAATTTATAATTATGTGTCCACAATGTCTTTATTAAAAAAAAAATTATTCATTATCAATAAATTAACTAAGAGAAATAATTTTATTAGTTATATTGTCTTTATTTTTCTTCAATATAAAAATTTTTTATATTCAAATTTATTAATTGATTATATTCACTACATTATCCTTACAATGTCTTTATTCAATAAAAAAACAATTATTAATTATCAATAAATTAATTAAAAGAAATATTTTCATTAGTTATATTGTCTTTATTTTTCTCAAATGTAAAAATTTTTACATTCAAATTCATTAATTGATTATATTCACTGCATTATCTATTATCTTTTTTTGTGCAGTATTTTTCTAATTAAATATCAAAGTTATAATACAAAATAATGCTATATATTTATTTACCAAGTATTTTATTAATACCATGAAAAAATTTAAAAAAATATAATTAATAAAGCCAACCATATTAACTACTTGAGAGATTTTGTGACAAAAAGAGTATTTAAATCACACAACAAATTGAAGTGAGAACTACCTCGCAATGTCCTTGTTTGACAATCAGCAGTTAGCAGTTAGCGTTAACGGATTATACTAGCGGATTTAACCAGCGAATTTATTTAATTATTAACGTTGGGTATAAAAAAATGATCGCCAAATTATTAAATCAAATGAATGGTTCATATTGTTCAGGTTTTAATTTTTTTCTTTTAAGATTTTCTAATTTACCTTTAATTATATGATTATCCATTTAATTTTTCCGTTAATTCACCGTTAGTCTAATTCTAATATTAAAGTCTAATATAGAATTATAACTACACCCATTAATCTAATTCTAATATTAAAGTCTTAATAGAACTTAACCACAAATCCTAATGTCGGAATCTCCTCAAACAATATTAGTATATATTTAATATTTTATGCCCTAATTTTTATTTGTTCTCCCTTATGTCCCGTATTTGGTTTCAACCATACCTATACAATTATTTTATTGACAATTATAATCAATTTTGACTATATTATCTTGCATTTGTAAACTTAGAATTACCTATTTAACCCGCACCGGCTTAGCTCAATGGTTTAGTGGGTAGTATTTGGGAGAAGAGACCAAGGTTTGAACATCGGCGGCGGCAGTGCGGGAATTATGTCCAAAGTGGGCAGATTCCTTGTGCGTATCAGCATTTACAACCTCCCACAATGCTCTGTCGGGTCGGAGTGTGGGGGGCCCTTGGGGTTGGAGACTCAACCTTTGGGAGAAGAATTACCTATTTAAATACGCAAATTCAACCTTCAATTATCTATGTATGAACAATTTCAATATAATCCTGCCTTAATATACTTTAAAGTACTTATTTAAAAAAAAAAAAGCATTGGGCATTATCCCAATCGCGCAATGCGCGTAAAAAACTAGTATATATATAAGAACATAGGAGGCACCTAGAAGTCACACCACAATAGATATCACCACACAAGAATTCCCAAGGGACTCCCCACCACCAAGCCTAGGGAGATCAAACGGATGGAAATCTTAGGGAAGAACCTTAATAGCCAAGAGATGATTAATTAAGGCTAAGAGGTAACCCATGTCTCAACAAAACCTATTTTCCTTGCTATGATCTCCTTCCTTGGCTCCCTCTATATACTTGTGTCTTGATAAATTTCTTTATGATATTTGTGATATAATCTTGATTGATTGATGTGATGATTTTATGAGGGATCTTGATGATCTTGATGTTAAAAAGAGGTTCTTGATATTTATGTGACGATTCTTGATAAATCTTGATGGTTTTTGATAATGAAAATAAAATATGATTTTGATGATTTGGGTGAGATTAGAGCCCTAGGATGGATTGGGAATTGATATTGTGATGTTCTTGATTTATATTTGGGTGGGAATTTGCATATTCAGGTGTTATTCGTGTCTAGAAGTCATGTTAGGATGTGTTCAATATGATTCTTGCTTTCGATCCATTAAATGCCTATATGGTGTCGTTAATTGCGTTTAAAAGTGTCTAAGCATGGTTTTGGGTTCCACGAAGGATCCCGGGACGCGTATTTGATAAAAGAGTCAGTGGGGGGTAGGTGGGGGTAGAGGTACCCGTCACCTACCCACTGCCCAAAGTGAGACCCCCAGGCAGCGGGCAGCCGGCGGGCAGTCGTCTCCCCGCCAGGCACCCGCTGCCCGGAGTTGTCGCCGGCGGGTGGCCCTCCACCCGCTGGTTTGTCACCCACCCCGGGTCTTTAGCATCCCCGTTTGATGTTCCCCATTTCCCATGGTGTCCCAACGGACCCCGTTTGTCGTGCTTGAGTCTAGTTTGATGTTTCGTGTGCCGTTCGTAGGATAAAAGAGTCTAGGAATTACATGCTAGTCGAATCGGTAACCCGTTGGCCTAGGTGGAAGTCGTATGAACCCCTTAGGACTATTCTTAGTATAAGAATGATCACACGTAAGCTTATTTATATGTCTCCCCCTCCCAATATGCTATTATGTGTTATTGTGTGTTATGTGATGCATGATTCCCCAATTTGGTTGCGATCAAATTGGCTATACGGGCAGTTGGATGGGTTGAGAACCATCCCAACTGTTAACCAGGCCGGTTGCGATTGGTTAGGTATATAAATATTATATAGGGCTGCGGTCCACTGTTTGGTTACTTATGAGCTGCGGTTCATCCTCCTGGCTGCGGTCAGTGATTCACTTCTTGGGCTGCGGTCCACATGGGCCTCGGGTGCTATGGCCCACCGACCTGGACGCGCCAGGCGGTGTGTAGGGCCAATAAGCCCGAGGAAGGCTGTAGTCCACCGACCTGAGTAATAAGGAGGTGTGTAGGGCTACGGCTGGCTGCAATCCACCGAGTGATGGGCCAGCAGTGTGTAGGGTCGTAGTCTCCGAGGATCATCGCCCACCGACTGAGTCCCTCAGCGGTGTATAGGGCCTGATCCGCTACGGTCCACCAACTGTGCCCGTCAACGGTGTGTAAGATCGTATGTCCCCCCTTGTAAATTGGATCACAGTCCACCGACTGAGCGCGTCAGCGGTGTGTAGGATTGTGGTCCGACGTTGAGTTCGTCAGCTGTCTTTAAAGGGTTGGTTGCTTTGCTTACTGCGCTGCTGGTGAGACTCTTTTGCAGACTCTTTTGCTTTGCTTGGTGAGACTCTTTTGCTTTGCTTACTGCGCTGCTGGTGAGACTCTTTTGCAGACTCTTTTGCTTTGCTTGGTGAGACTCTTTTGCTTTGCATACTGCGCTGCTGAAACTCTTTGCTTTTCTCTTTGGTTCTTTGCTTACTGCGCTGGTGAGACTCTTTGCTTTTCTCTTTGGTTCTTTGCTTACTGCGCTGGTGAGACTCTTTGCTTTTCTCTTTGGTTCTTTGCTTACTGCGCTGGTGAAACTCTTTGCTTACTGCACTGGTGAGACTCTTTGCTTTTCTCTTTGGTTCTTTGCTTACTGCGCTGGTGAGACTCTTTACTTACTACACTGGTGAGACTCTTGAGACTCTTTGCTTACTGCACTGGTGAGACTCTTTGCTTACTGCACTGGTGAGACTCTTTGCTTACTGCACTGGTGAGACTCTTTGCTTACTGCGCTTCTCTTTGGTTCTTTGCTTACTGCGCTGGTGAGACTCTTTGCTTACTGTGCGCTGGTGAGACTCGATCCTGGTCATTCTTCCTAAACTTATGACCAGTTTAGCTACCTTTTAGAAAATATCTCATTAGAGCCAACTCATCATCCACGTAAACAAGAGGAAAGAAAATGATTTCTTTTTAAATGTCAACTCACCTAAACAAAAGGAAAGAAAATGATTTTTTTTTAAATGTCAACTCACCATCCACGGAAGCAGGCAATCAGAAGAAAGGGAAAAGGGATTGCAAGTTGCTATGAGGTGAAATTGCATACATTTGGGGTGTTGAGTGGCGGCCTATTTGCACTCTTAGACATTCAATTGCCAATTTGGAACTTATTCCTTCTAAATTCATTTATAAATTTTCAAATATTATTTATTTTTTATTTCCTAATTTAAAAACAATTCATTTTACATAGAAAACTTTGGGTTTTCACGTTTTATTTTTTGAAAAAAAAAAAACAATAAAAAATTCATTACTAAAAACCTTATGCGGACGACTAAACCGTCAACGGTAGGAGCCAAGATGGGTCAATGGCGACATTACCGACGACTTCGACAACGACAATCCGATTGTGGAACTGGAACACATGAAAATTTCGTTAGACCACAATTTCCTTACCATTCTTCACAACCAAATCGCCGTCGTATAGGTCGACGTCGACGACTTTACTTGCCGGAAACACCACTGAAATTGAGCAAGTATTTCATTGTGTTCTTCACAAACCTCTCTAGCAAATGACATAAATGAGTAAATGGCATGACAATTTATACGAATTGGTATTCCCGATCTCACGATAAAACGACTCCAATCTCTTCTATTTCATCCAATCTTTAGTAATAATCATCATTTTCAGTTTGGCAATCCCAATGACCTTCGCTCCATTTGGAACCACAGACATAGCAAAATTCAAGTCCACACCTGAATCCAAGAAACCATTAAACCAACAAAACCTCTCACCGAATTACCATTCTTTTACTCCTAGTTAAGGTTGTAAGCAAAGCAAAATGGGCATATAGACAAATTAAACTAACCAGCAAGTGATGTGTATACAGCCATCAATCTTGTCAACGACGCGGTTGCAATGAGGGCACTTCATCCATTTGAAGTTCCTGGCCATCTCCTCAACCTCCACATCGCCTTCCTTCTCCTTAGATTCCCGGAATTCCTCGCAATCCTGATCGGCATGCCACGCCACGCGGCACTGCGCACAGAACACTCTCCGGCAGAAGGGACACTCTGTCTCCGTGATCACTTCTTGCTCCTCATCATCATCATCATCTTCTTCGTCCACGAACATCTCAGAGCAGTCGCCGTAGGGGCAATAAACGATCTGAGAAGCATCGACGCTGGACAGGGTTAACCATCTCTCCCACTTCGCAATCGCGGCTTCTGGGAGGATTGACACGCAGGAGGAGAGGTCGATTGTGGCCGGACAGTTCCGATCAGGATCCGGGCAGGTTCCGGGAGGGAGATTGAGATCAATCCGGGACTGGACATATTCGCTGATGCATAGGGAGCAAAAGGAATGAGAGCATGTGTTGTTGTTGTTCTTGAACATCTCCGATGATTCTTTTCTCTCCATGCAAATCCCGCAGAAAAACCCAGACGATTCTTCTTCTTCTTCTTCTTCTTCTTCTTCTTCTTCTTCTTCTTCTTCTTCTTCTTCGATTGATGATAAGATCTGCAGGCTGGCGAAGGAGGCCTGGAGAGCTTCCTGGAGTTGAAGCTCTTCTGCGCAGTGGGCATCTGAAATTTCCTCATCACTTTCTTCCTCGTAAAAGGACCATATTTCTTCTTCCATTATATTATACTACGATGAAATGGAATTCTATATTCGGTGAATAATGTCTTTAGGTATGAGAGCTACGTTGTTGCTCCTATTATATATAAACAGAGAAAACACCTTGCGTAGACTATTCTACTGGATAAGCGTCATCAACTTAATTGCCAAAAAATCCAAGACAGTGTAAACAGAATAAACTAATTAGGTATGGTGCGTGGTTAAGTGGAATATGAATTCCGATCCATTTATGTGGTTATTGTTTACCCATTCAATCAAATTAAGAAAATCAATAACTTCAATAAGTAATTTCTGCAAAATTCAAACTTACAACTTTATGATTACTAAGTGAACTACTGGGCAGAGCTACTCCTTGGGGTAGGGGATCCTGACCCCACCCCATATTTAAATAGATATAATTGACATTGTAAATTTTATCCTTTTAATAACAGGTTGTGTACAATCTTCGTCCCTAAGCTATATGGACATTACAAATTTCGTCCATAATGTTTTGTTAGTAAAGGAATAAAATTTACAACATCAATTATGTAGTATATCTTAGGGACAAAAAGTGAAAACGACCAATAATTATAGACGAATTTTACAATTAACTTATAACTTAGTGATACAAATTATAATTTTCCTTTTTTTTTACTATTATATGTATTTTGTGTTATGTGAAAAATTCAAAAATTATGTTTGACAACATTAACCATCGTACTCATTTAATTATATATTTCATATATTATTACACATATTATAAATAAAAATAATTATCAATAATAATTGCCACAATCATGTATAGTATACATAATGATATTATATGGTTGGTACTAATGTCGATTAACATGATAAATTTTTTCTATAAATTTGATTTCCCTAACCCAGACTTTCTGACTCCATCCCTGCCAACTACCCGAGTCTGGAGGGGGCATTTGGATCCAAGTTATCTAAATTAGACCAAAACCAAACTAAACGGTTCAATTTTGGTTTTTTATTCAAAACTGGTTGGTGTAAATATATATTACCCCTAGAATATAATATCCTATTGCAGAGGAAGCCTATGAAAATCTCTTATATCTTGAGAGGGAATAAGCATGCGAACTTTCTAGTAAATTTGGATCAGTTAAGGGACTGGAGTAATTAAGGTGATATTGAAGCAATCTTCGAGGATATACGGAAGTAGAGTTGTTAATATGGTCGGCCGGGGCGTGGTGGGCCAGGGTTTTACTAGCCTAGACCGCGGGTTAGGCGGGCACCCTCCAGTCCGCCACATTACTTTTTTACTCTTTTTTTTTTTTTATGAAGAACTTTTCTCTTTACTCTTAAGTTGTTAATTTGTTAGCTATTTTGTTAAGTTTTACCACTTGTACACTTTAAAAATAATTAAAATAACTTGTTACATAACTAACATAAGACATAGTTTATCAAATATTAAATTTTGCATAATACATAACAATAATTATAAAGTATGTAGTCTAAAATTTTAAAACATTAAAATAGAATTATGGTTACTACTTATTAAGTTATAGTTAGGTTTTATAAAATATTTTATATATATATATATATATATATATATATAAATTTTTAGAATCTTGTTGCAAGGGAAACTTTAAAAAAAATACTTTGAATAGAGGTGACTAAATGTGTGAAACATAATTTTTGTAATTAAAAGCTATTAGTTTGATTTTTAAAACAAGTTGCCTCTAGTAAATTGGATACTATTACTTTATTTACAACGGGACAAGACCAATTCAACTAGTACTCAAAGGTCTTCGTCAATTGTAAAATAATATACAAATATCAGTCTTAATCATTCAAACCTGTCCATTGATCTTGCTTGGGGATCTAATATTGCAACAGTATGCTTTTCTATTTTTTAAAAATAAAATCTTAAAACATTATGCATTTTTTGTTTTCAAATTTTAAGGAAAGGAATTAGGTGGGAAATGAGGAATTGTAATTTCATGGGAAAAAAATAATGTGGAAATAAAATGAGAGTTTAAATTTCAATGTTTGGTTTGTAAAAATAAAATTACTCGAAATTTCAATTTCAATGTTTGGTATCAATGAAAATTGAGAATGAATTAGTATAAAGTTCAAAATGTCATTGTTATTATTATTATTATTATTATTATTATTATTATTATTATTATTATTATTAAACATACACGAAATAGCTGTTATAAACAATGCATATCTTTCTATCTTTTCTTTTTATTATTATATAATAAAGCCATAACTTTTTTGCCAATCAAAATGTAGCATTTTCCCGCTCACTTAATGCTATGTCGTTTTGAACATACACTGAACTAAACCATTTGGCTGTTAAATGCTTATATTAATTGCTTTTTGAAACATTTCATTATTCTTTACATTACCCCATGCGTATTGGATTTCGAACACTTTTTTTTTTTTTTCAAAAAATTATTACACAGTGAACACAGAAATATCTTGGTAGTTGAAAGGTTGTTTCCATATCAGATTTAAATATCTTAGTACAAGATTCATCGTATACAACAACCATTATTACAACCAATGAATATAATGAATTTAAATATGAGATAACTTTTGCAATCCTCAAGACTAACATTAAATATTAAGTATTTACATAAATTTCCATAAACCAACAACACTACAAATAGGTACTCAGACTTCACAAAACACCTTCATGCTCAAGGAGAGAGAGGTGGAAAGGAGCAGCAGTCTACAAAGGTTTGATGTATTAAACCCTAGATTTCATTTTGCAAACACAAAAGTTGTCATGCAGTAAAAAAAAAAAAAAAAAAAAAAAAAAAAAAAAAAAACTATTTATAGTATCAAAGCAATTTTATATTCATATGGTTTTAGTTACATGGGTAAATAGATTATTCATATCAGCTGTGTGCATAGATAAGTTGATCAGTAATTTTGAAGAAAGATTCGTATGTTAATATATTAACTAAATTTGAAAATGTCCTTATTTCATTATCCATATTTATTTGTTCACATCATGGATTGCCAGAAATAACAAGCAATCTCTCCAAAAACTTAAATCTTAACAATAAAGGTGGATTTCTTCATATAACAAAACGACACAGTTATAATAACAATACTATAAACTTGCACAGGGTAACAGTGAGTTAGTTAAGGTTACCAAATTCATTAAGCACATAGAAAGCTCACAGCATTACTAATGGCTATAAAAGTCGACAGCATACAAATAACTATTTCGCATTGAAGTACATGGAAAAAAATATGATTATACGAAGCATTGAAATTGAATTCAAGTTTAAAAAATAAAAGAAAACCCCACTTTTGAAAAAGTAAATAGTAAACCAGATAGAAATTATGGTACAAATACTGATTTACTAGTAAACTTTACTATGGTACAAATAGTAAACCACATAGAAATTATGGTACAAAGTCAATATTTGGATGTTACCTGCCGGCGTAGTTTTTAAACTTTCAGCTTTGCCTGCTCTCCTCATTTATTCCGTTGTCCGCCGACGTAACTTCGCAGAAGACGTTTGGTAGAAGCATTTGTTGTTTTCTGATTCATTTGATTTCGGCTAGGGTTTGAATTCAACTAGGTTTTAGTTGCGCTGAAGGGACTGTACATCGGAAGCAGAAGCGATTTTGGGGCGAATTGAACGAACAACCTTCACCTGCTTTTGGGGCAGAAAAAAATAGTAGAGATGAAAATCCTAAAATGTTGGACAACGAATCGAGTAGAAGATGCATTGTTTGGCGAATTGTTACACGAAGGGAAGAAGCTATATGTAACTAGATTTAACCACCGATCTCGGTAAAAAATAGAGAAAAATCCAAAGGTCTGGAACAATTGAGAGAAAATAAGGAGCTGTCCGGCAAGAATTCGTCATGAAATGAGGAAGATGAAAGAATTTGCATACTAAATACTTATGTTTAGGTTTATAATCATTTGTGTTGGGCTGCGTTTTAAAATGAGATGGGCTACACAATCCTATTGGCCAATTAATGTTATGTTCGCAAATTATGCTCTGCACCCGTGTCCACAATGCATTGGGAACACGAGTCCAAAACGATGTCGTTTTCAGGTGAACACGTTATTTTAGTTTTTTAAAAAAATTGATTTTGTCTCACCGTTAAGGCCGTTAACGGCGTTATTCGTTTGTGTCATTATGAATATTATGAATGTATAGTTATGGAATTATGAATATACAGTTATTGTATTATGAATGTACAGTTATGGAATTATAAATGTAAGTTATAAAATTATGAACACAGAGCTCTGACATTATGAACTTACAATTATGAACATATAGTAATAAAATTATGAACATAGAGCTCTAAAATTGTGAACATGGAGCTTCGAAAATTATGATTTTATAGTTATTGAATTATGAATGTACAGTTATGGAAGTATGAATGTATAGTTATTGAATTATGAACATAGAGCTCCGACATTATGAACTTACAATTATGAACATATAGTAATAAAATTATGAACATATATACTCCTATAACGAAGCGGTCTAAAATTAAAAAAAAAAAAAAAAAAAAAAAAAAAAAAAAAGTGGAAGATAACCGTGCCACTAACCGCACTGTTACCCATATCCAGAATGCATGCTGGACACGGGTCCATAGCATAACGATTGTGTAATTTTTGTATAGAATGTATTTTGGATTGGACTGGTTTCATATTAAAATTGGGTGTAATGTATTTCGGGCTAAATATGTTATATGTTGTATATTTAACTTTGTATTTTGTATTTCTATATTTATTTGTTTATGGTATATGGTACTAGGTATTAATTGTATAGTATTAACATGTATATAGATTTTTTAAAGAGATTTGTATGTTATCCCAATTGTTTTAATGATTTGTTTACTTCTTTTTTCATATAGAAAATGTTGACCTCTCATAAAATAGGAATTGTAATGTTGAGTAAAAATTATTATTATATATATGTATTTGAAGCAATATATATATTATTTGTATAATATAAAATTAGCAAATTAATATGCAATTTTAGATAATTATTGTATTTTAATTAGGGTAGTAACAAGGTGTGTGGACATACTAGATTAGAAATCGAAGAAATTAGGGTAGTTGCA